AAAAGGAAAAAGGAATGGATAGTCCACAATCTAATAATCCTTCTCTTTTGATGCTACCCATCTCATTGCAGGAAAAAAAAATACTGTTTCTCTCTAGAAGTTCATTCCCTACATTCAACACCTTCCTCTCCTTCAGTTTACTTTGCTAATGTATTGGCAAGCTTCAGATAACTGCACATAATTACATCCTTCCCGTTACTGCCTTCTGCTTGTATTCTCTTAGCCAATTTACATGCACAGWTTTTAATTCCTTGACTTGTGTGCCCCTCTAGCCACTCAAAATTTTCTCTTGTCTTCCGAATTCTCTCCTGTTTGACTTTCTTGTGCTTGCTCTGAGCTTCTCAGAATTGATTGCATGGCCATGTGTTTGGAAATACCATCACTTTGTGGTGCTGGAGGTTGCATGGAGTAGGATTGTATCTCTTTCTAATTTAATCATTGAACCCCTACAGAAAGTCATATTCTCTTGCATTGTTATGAGGTTCCCAGCTCTTCCAAGCTGTTATCTGTGGCAAGAACAGCTTAGGTTATGGAGGCTTTTTGGAAGGGGTTGGGGATGTAATGTCTCTTCTCTTTTCTTTTGCCCAAGGCTGCTACTGTCTTCACYTTCTGTGTTTTCCTTGGAGGCTGACCAATGGTACAGTGTAAATCCTTTTGGGGGGAAGGCAGCTGGTGGCTCCAAGGAGACAGCTGCTTATATTCCAGCATGCTCCCATAGGCTGCCAGCAGATGTGTCTGACAAGAGAGCTGATCCCTCAGTCCATTGAGAATGGTCCTCTTTATGCTTGTACAAATTCACAGTGTGCATCCCTCTTTGTGCCCAGGTGCAGATGTCTTCCCCTTGTCACCTCTGATCCTGCATGTGCCATATGCAGACAATTGTGTAGGAGATTAGTGCAATTTCTCCCCTTTATCTTGTGTTCCTCCAATTAACTGCTGAGTTTTTGTCATCTGTTCGTCCCTGGACTGTTGGAAGGTTCGTGCATGCTTTTCCTCTGGTTCAGGAATGTTCTTCTCTCCAGATCTGCTCTCCCTAAACCTTAGTTTCCCTGTATTTCATGCATTATCCCTCAGCAGTCCCTGTGCAGAGGGTTATCCTGAAGTCCCTACAGATTAGTGCAGACTACTTTTGGAGCATGCTTAGGGTTGCTCAATATATTTTCGTTTCTCATTTCCGCGGCCATGTTGCATATGTTTACTGCACACATAAACAATAGAAGGTGGAAGATGTACAAATTGGTGTGTATGTCAACCTGGAGCTTTATGTTGTTGTTTAGCACCAAGCAAGAGGGCAGTATTTCCCAAAAAGGGTGCTGTCATGAAAAAGTATTTATTAAGAATATTCCAGATTGATTTTTTTTGGTCATAAACATATGATGATTTTTTTTTTCAAAAAGCTCAAAGTCTTATTTCTGGGAAAAGCTGATTAAAGGTTTAGGGGGAAACTGATGAGCCCCTGTAATACTGTCATTATTTAGCCTTGTTTGTTGTTTTTGGTTTTTTTTCTTAAACGTGATTTAATATTACATTGCTATCATATCTTACTGTTAAAAAAAATTAAACTTTTGATTTTGTTAGCAAATTTGGTATCATCTTACAGAAATATAGGTAATGTACTTCTTCCAGGTACTGACTCCACACCTTCAGTTTTCCATCTCATTACAAACCAGCAGTTTTCCTACTCATTRCAACCTTATCATTTAACTTCTACCTGTTAAATCTTGGGCAAAACATCACTCTTCTCTCCATATTTTCTCTCTTTGGCAACCATGAAGTATCATGGGCTTCAGAGTTGTGTACACAAGTGTAACRCAGGTGTATTTTGTAAATGATTCTGTCGATGTTGCACAACGGCAAACTTGCTCTCTTTCTGCAGTGCTGCCAACTGTGCTAAGTAAACAGACCCCCAAAAAGATAAAAACTCCTTAATTGCTTGTGTCAGCCACAGCAGTCAAACATGTGAGCAGCAAGTCTGAGTAAGAAAAACCCATTTCATGTTGTCACTTTTCTCACRCTTGATTTGTACTAGGAGTTTTAAACTGAACAAAGAACTACACTAGTACTTCCTTCTCARTGGCACGTGTTGTGCTTTCAAGAAATACTCCTCTGCCACCAGAAATAGAATTTTATTGGAAGGGTACTGTTAATATATGTTGTGTTTTAAAAAAAAAATCATTAAAATAGGTGTACTTCATGGATACTGGCACATTGTTTTATACTGAAGGTGCTGCCTTGCCTCTTAAAAAGTCACCATGGAGCAAGCTGATGCTTCCGTCACAGAGGTCCTGCTTGAAGATTGTTCTTGAGACCACTTCTGACAAAAGCTCTTCAAGTCACTGGTTTCAGTTTTCCATGCCTCCAGAGGCCCCTGTGCATTCTGCTGCTCGGGCSTGCTTGTCAAGAAGATTTTTGTTCAAACATTTCACGTGCACACCCCCACTCCCATATGCGTGTGCGCATGCCCGTGTGCGAGACAGCTATGGGCAAAGAGTAGAATAAAGAGCTGTCCTGGCAGCAGAGAAGATGCTGGGTACYGTAGGAACACAGCCTACCCAGCCTGAAAACTACAGTCTTACATATGAAAGCTGAATCTTTAAGGTCTTGATCACCTTAGGATGGAAATTCTCACCAGCCCAGACCTGCACATAGAAACATACATGATTTCATTTTCAGACAGGCTTTTTTTTTTTTTTTCCCTGTCTCCTAAAGCTTGCCAAGTAAATGATTCCTCTGCTGATTCTGCAGTTTCCAAGTGCAGTTTTTTACTCTGTGCCATGTCTCTGGAAAATATCCAATGTGTCTAAATCATGTAATTAAACCCTAGAAGCTAAAGACTGAGAACTACTGACTCTTTTTAACATATTTCTGTTTTAGCATACTGATGTTTCTTCAAGTTACTGTGAAGCTTTCAAAGCTCCCTAAATGACCTGATCTCTCTCCCACTTACTGCAAAACACTCACATGATACGAATCTGTTTGGCCCAGCTGACCACTTCAGAGGCAGTGTGTAGGATACAGACGCCTGTGTGGAAGCCTTCAGCATCAGGCTTACCACAGGTTCTCTCAGATCCTGACGATGTTTACAAATGGAAGCGTGGTTCTTTGGCAGGGCTCTCTTATCTTCCTGACTGTTCTCTAAGAAGAAGATGGGATGTCACAAGAGGAACGATACTGCAGAGATTTCTGGGCAGATTTTGAATAATTTTGATTTGGAAATTCAAAGTGAACTGTTTCTAAGGCATTGAATTTACAAATGTTAAGTTTCTCTCACTGCTAGGATCAACTTCATTCCAGTGCGCAGAATCTGGAATGCTTTCTGCACCAGGAAGATGTTTAAAATTACTACTTCTTGGGTTRGAGCCAGGAAGAAGCTGCTGGAAGCACAGCTGGATTGGGATGCGTGCCTGCAGTTGTCTCCCAGATGGTCCTTTCCCTTCCTAATGTCAGTAGGCTTTCAGCTGGTGCCAGCAGCAATGGGAATGCAAATATGTACTGACATTTTCACTTTCCAGTGAGTTTACTAATCCCRTTTGGTGCATGTGCTGTCCATAAAGGGGCTGCACATCAGCAGTTACCACTGCCATCACTGTGGTGTCAGGAATGCAATAGTTCTGTTGAGGAATGTTTGTTTCATTGCTA